CCCCAAAACCCCAAAACCCCAAAACCCCAAAACCCCAGAGCTTCAGATACTTGCTGAAAAAGTTACTCCTCATTAATTCCAATGGTCCACATTTTTAATTTGGATAAACTAAATTCTCACCAAACTGGTATTCTTCACAAAAGATACCAGAGTCAAACTTTCACTGAAAAATCTGAATTCCTACAAATCAAAAAACACTATGGTCAAAAATTGAGTTCCAATTTCTCAAAATTAACTTAAAACTCATAAAAACATCCCCTTCCTTAATTTTTTTACAAATACTTATTTTACACTCTTCTACTACTCCACCGGTCTCTTACGAGCCATTTCCACAGCAGAATTCAATCTCAAACTTTCTAAATCTCATTAAATCCACTCTCTTACCAAAATACATCGAGCTCTTCCTCTCAAAATCCCCTCTAGTATCTCTCTTAGGTCTTGGTAGTGATTTATTTGCTCCTCCAGTTCCTCTGATATTGACCCTTGAGAAGCCGGGATGGCTAAATTTCATTTAAAAATTACACTTTCATACATTTAGTTTAATTAGATTTTATCTTACAGTGTAATTTGAGCGTTAGGAAGATTCCTGCGATGGCCAATTCTGCCTTGTGAGCCTGAGAGATTAATAATAGGGAAACATACTGGCATGTTCATAGTTTTTACTGAAGATATGTGTCAGAATGCTCTTAGTTTCATCACTAGCGTCTTTTAAGGCAGTCTCTATTTTTGGATTGATCATTTTTGGTCTTGGGAAATTGAATTTTGAGGTTGTACGCTGAGGTAATTTTCCGACTGGAGGCAGAATATTGGACTCCCTTGAAACCGGACTGGAAGAAACACTGCTTACTGAGACTATAAAGGTGTTATCAACGGTAATATTACCAGCTCGTTCGAAGGAATCGGAAATCTCAGTACTAATGTCAGTCTTTTTGGATTTTGAACTTTTCTTATGAAAATTTCATACGTCCTTATTACTAAACCTTGGCTGGCAAGATCTCTCTTCCACTATTAAAAGTTAGATTCCAAAGTACAAGCCAATAGAGGGTAAATTATAAACATTATTTCAGTTATTCTTGAAGTATTTAATATCTTCCTGAGAAACTCTTCACCAGCATTCGATTATGCTGGTTCAGATCCAAAAATCAAACAAATGAAATGGTGAATACATTCTACAGTTGAAATGAATCCTAGAATTTCACTTACAGATGAGTCGATCTCTTCTGATACCTCTAAGGCTAGCTCTTTTCGGCCTCTTCTCCTTGTCCTCAACCATGACGATAAATTTAGATTTACGCCTTGAGGAGCCAGAAGAGTTTGGCTTAGACATATTCTGGAACTTCTGAGCTGAGGTCTTAGAAGTATAGGTGGCATCACTGTACTCACCTATTTGCGAAGTCAACACTCTTTTAATTATTTTGAAAGAGTGACCTCTTTTGGTTCGATATTGAGGAGCCTGATTCGAGGGAACATCCCCAGAGTCACCAATATACTTTTTCGGTCTTGGAGGCAAAATGTGTTTATTAGATAGCTTTAAAGAATCTAATATACAGCGAGAGAACCTTCCTTCTCTAAGCATCGAAATCTTAGCGTCTGTATGCCTGTGTAGATCTATCATCTTCAGTCAGGGGTTTATAAAGAGTGCAAATAATATTACTTATTATCTCTTCAATCTCTCTTGGTTAAATTGGGGTTTTGGGGTTTTGGGGTTTTGGGGTTTTGGGG